ACTTCCAGTGTTGGCGCATTCACCGCTTCTGGAGGCAGGTTGTTCCACTGGTTAATTGTTCTAACTGTCAGGAAGTTTCTCCTTAGTTCTAGGTTGCTTCTCTCTTTGGTTAGTTTCCACCCGTTGCTTCTTGTCCTGCCTTCAGGCGCTTTGGAGAATAGCCTGACTCCCTCTTCTTTGTGGCAGCCCCTAAGATATTAGAACACTGCTATCATGTCCCCCCTCGTCCTTCTCTTCGTTAAACTAGACATACCCAATTCCAGCAACTGTTCCTTATATGTTTTAGCTTCCATTCCCCTAATCATCTTTGTTGCTCTTCTCTGTACTCTTTCTAGAGTCTCAACATCTTTTTTACATCGTGGTGACCAAAACTGGATGCAGTATTCCAAGTGTGGCCTTACCAAGGCATTGTAAAGTGGTATTAATACTTCACGTGATCTTGATTCTATCCCCCTGTTAATGCAGCCTAGCACTGGGTTGGCCTTTTTGGCAGCTGCAGCACACTGCTGGCTCATATTTAAATGATTGTCCACTAGGACTCCGAGGTCCCTCTCGCAGTTACTACTACTGAACATTGACTCACGTTTATTTGCACTCTAAGCATGCAGTTGAAGTAAGCAACATGCTCTACATGGTTTAAAGAACAGACAATGTTGTTTTAGGCTGAAATCCCAAGAAGATTTAGCCAAGCAACCCAAAATAATCAGAAAACCTATTTATCTGTTCTTCTAAATGAGCTAGCCAAAAATTAAAATAGCCTGGGATACATCAAGTCCGAAGGCTGAGCCTTCCCAGGAGACCCAGACAAGCTCTATTTCTTGTTCACCACAGTTTCAAGCAAATACTGACAATATCCCAATCAGCTGCCCTTGTATTTGTCATGCGTTTAATAAGTGGGAGAAGATTGTTAATATGTCTCCCATGTGGAAAATATAAAATAATGATATTCTCTCATATACTAGACATGATAATGCGTAAAGAAGAAATGCATCTGCGGGAAAGTGTTTGTGGTTTTAATATAGTCCATTTAGAAGAATTGGTATGACAAGCTGAATAAAAGCTGTGATTTTGCACAAATTTTCTTGAATTGTGCAGAAAATGTGTTTGTTTATTTATTTATTAGATTTTTATCCTGCCTTTATTACTTTGTAAGTAACTCAAGGTGGCAAACACGCCTAATTCTCTTCCTATTTTTCCCACAACAATCCTGTGAGGTGGGTCGGGGTGAGAGAGAATGACTGGCCTAAAGTCATCCAGTCAGCTTTCATGTCTAAAGCAGGACTAGAACTCACAGTCTCCTGGTTTCTAGGCCAGCACTTGACCACTGCACTAAAATGGCTCTATAGAATGTTAAAAAGTCTAAAAAAATATTTTTAAAAAATCTAAACATCTCTAAATAATTTAAAATGTTGGATTGTCATTGGGGCTAGGCTAATAGTTCATTACAGTGACCTTTTGCATTGGACAAAAGATTTTCCCACAGCAGTCTGTTTCACAACATTGCTGTATCATAACATGAGAAAACGTCATTTATGGGCCTGTGAAGTTTTGGGAGAATGGAATGGGGTTAAATGGATTTTTCAAAAGTTATTTATATTTATGAGCAGAGTCTTTCCACAGCTTTGTTTTTTATCTTCTTAACTGTCTCCCTTTTGATAAGATCAGTCTCTTTCTACATATGAATTAAAGCAAGTGTACTCAAAATTTCCAGTTCATGATTTTGCATCATTCTGTACGTATATATGCTGCCCTATTTCGTATTAACTTAACAATTGTCACAAAAATGAATTATAGTTTGTTTGATTTTATAAGAAAGAGGAAGTTAAGATCTGGGAGTCTGAAGCATAAAAATGACCCTTGAAACTCAGTGCAATAAATGTTTCTGAGGAAGATTACTTCAATATAATCAGTATTCAAGTGCACTGCCCCAAGTTGCTTTTGATGAGACGGTTGGCTATATAAATGTGATTAATAAATAAACAAACATTTAAGGGAGAAACATAAGCAGTTTACCTATTGTGGATAACATAGAACCCACAAAGAAGAAAGAATTGCTGAAATCCCAATTGTTGTGTTCATCAGAGAATTCATTTTCTGCTGGATATATGCCCTTCCTAACAGCTTCCATCAGATTCTACAATTAAGATGACATTTGACATTTAAATAACCATAACTGATTATCAAATAACATTTATCTTTATATGCTTTTGCTATTAAGCTGCATCTTCTGATTCTAGGAATGTCTACCAAATAAAATTGAACTAAAAATAAAACCTTTTCAAAATATCATAGCCTTTTCTTTAAAATGTCTAATACATTCAGCTTAATACATCAATTTCATAATTAAGAAGGGAAAGGAAAGGAAAGGAAAGGAAAGGAAAGGAAAGGAAAGGAACTTTTGATCTGGCATCAAAAAGAATAATATGTAGTGCCAGTTGCATCTCAATGGGCTACATGAATCATACAGTAACTGAGAACGTTTCTCTTTTTCAAAGTTTCATACTGTATGAAATGTACTCATAAAAAAACCCTCCACTGATCATATTCAAGGCACCACAGTTTTTGGATTCATTATTTTTTGTATTCAGTTCAGAAAGAATGACCTACCTCCACAATGATATTGACCTCTGCTGCACTGAGGGAAGTGAAGTTCTTCAGAAAGTCCTCCTTCATTTTAAAGGTGATGCCTTGTTGTAGTCTCTCAGCATCTTTTTCCAGAACCTGGAAGATGAGAGCACCCACCAGGAGATAAGCAAGGTAGCCAGCTGCTAACATACAGCTCTGTAATCTGCTGTAGATCATGGTGGCCTGTGGGAGAAAGGAAGCCAAAAACACAGAGAGGCTGGTAAACACAGCCTTATTCGTAATCTTTCCAACTCTGATTAAATGAAATCCCAGCTGGACAGTTCCCATTTCCACTTGGAATTTGAACTAATACTATCAATCTTGTCTTTTTTCCCCCCATAATAGCTTAGGGACTTCCTAAGTAAAGCAAAATATTGTTTCAAAAACTTCCCAGGAGAATTTTGTAATTGCTCTGGCCTCACTCCCA